CGCGCCTCCTGCTGGAACTTTGCTGCCTTCTTAGTGTCTGCCACTGCACGCTCCACGAAGCCCACTGATTGGTCCATGTTACTCTCAATTCTGTCAATCATTCCTCCCTGAGGAAGAGGAGAGGAAGGAGGAGGGGGTGGGGTTGGTAGTGGAAGAGCAGAGGAAGAGAAGAATGATGAGAAAGAGAGGTAGGGTTTAGATCAGAATATTTAGATTTATTATGTTAATAACTTACTACATGTCATTCAGCTCTTTGATGCTGTGCTGTTGTATAGATGTTTTGGGTATATGTTGTGTATATTGTGTATTTATTTGTGTATATGTAGTGTGCACCTGGTTCTCGACCAGCATGGCAATGTCCACAAACATGTCGTGCAGCTCTTTGATGCTGCTCTCCAGCCTCATGATGTCTTTGTGTCGAGCTTCGATCTCATTCAGAGCCTGCTGGTTGATCTTAGAGTCCATGATCTGAGAGAGAGAGAGAGAGAGAGAGAGATACAGAGAGACAGTGTGTGTGTGTGTGTGTGTGTGTGTGTGTGTGTGTGTGTCAACAGAAACAGAGAGAAGATGAGTAAAAAAACTGAAGAAAAGCTTAGAAGCAGCAGTTCACAAGACGTTAAATTGGACAGTTATTAATGTGGCAGTTATTGACAGATCTGATTGGTATTCACTGATTGCCCCCCACCCCCAGCCCAGCGTGTGTACACATTAGCTGTCTCTCACCCCTGCAGAGAACACAGCAGCGTTTCCTCCCTCGAGCATCTCGTCCAGCTCCTCATCAGTCGTAGCTTTCCCCGCTGTCACAGAAACACAGATCAAAAGTCAAATAAATATATTTTTACTCCTCCTAATGTTAACTTTAAGTCAAAGATAACAGAAAAACAGAAGACTGACACAAATGATAAAACATGACAAAAGAGATGATGATTTATCTTCATTCTTCATTTATCTTTATTCAATTTAAGAAAGCACAAGCTAACAAAATGAAATAAATCAATTTAGATAATGATAAAAATCATGATCCTAATCATAATAATCACAACGTACTGATCTCGAGCTGGCGGGCAATGCGTCCTTTGCTCTTGTCTCTGAAGTCAACCTGAGTTTCGTTGTACCTCGTCATCACCTCCACAAACTTCTTGGCCAGAATTGCATGCTGGGAGAGTAAAACAAACATGTTGTGTTTATTATTGTGTAATAAAATGTTCGATGATCACACAAAGCAGCAGCTTCAGCAAAGGTACAACTAGAAGTAAAGATAATTAAAAAGATGGTTATCAAACCTCTTTATCATCTGCCATTCACTATTTACTTAATTAATTCTTATTTTATTTGATGAAGATTAACCAATAACAACTGTTTTTGTATAAAAAAAACAGAAGGTTAAAGTCATTGCTGCAGGTGATTGTTCTTCAGATAAACTCATCAGGTGACGTCTTTAAAGAGAGAAACTAACCTGTGATTTACGTATCCTGAGATCAGCTGAGGATCTGTCTTCTGTGTTTGACTCCAGCTGACGCTCAATACCTGAGATGCACACACACACACACACACACACACACACACACACACACACACACACACGCACACACACACACACACACACAAAGTGGGGTTAAAAATGCTGTTGTTAGTGTTCACACATGCAGTCCACTCTGAAAATTTCAGACCATTTTTGCTGTTTTGTGTTTGTGTGATATAACGAAGACTGACATAGTCGCATACACACGCAAACACAAACACACACAACACACACACACACACACACACACACACACACTGGTACTGACTCTTGAGTTTGTTTCGTGCATTGTTTGCAGACTTCTTGATCTCGTTAGTCAGAGCTTCAACATCGTCCTGAGTCTCTGACAGAGAGAGAGAGAGAGGGAACATCAAACTTATTAAGATGAAGATAAACTCTTTTATGCATATTTTCCTCACATGATAATATATAAATAAATATATATTTTGTGTGTGTTACTTTGATCAGAGGTGGGGGCTGACAGGATGGTGGAGTAAAGCTTCTTGATTTCTGTGATACTCTCGTCCACCTTATCGATGCTGGTCCTGATATCTTCAATCTGAAACCCACATCAACATGCAGGAGAGGGACACCGTGACTGATCACCTGTATCACCTGTGGTTTTGTTTCTCAATTAAAAACTAAAGTAAAGACACACACCTGAGCAAAGAAGTCATCCATGAATGCCTGGTTCTCCATAGGAACCTCGATGTCATCTCCTCCATCACTCTTCTGTAACAGACACACACAAACAAAATTGTATTTAATTATAAGTTGTGTTAACTTCTTGATTCTGATTGGTCGATAGCAGTCTGTTATACATCATTATCACAACATTGTCGGGAAAAAAGATTCACAGAATCACAGAATATTATGATTAATTTTTATAAACAGGGCCCATCAGAGTGTCTCTTGGACCTATCAGGTAACTTAATTAACATCTGAAAATCAGCTCCTAAAGGTCATCTCCTACACGTCAGCTCCTACAGGTCAGCTCCTACAGGTCAGCTCCTAAAGGTCAGCTCCTACAGGTCAGCTCCTAAAGGTCAGCTCCTAAAGGTCATCTCCTACACGTCAGCTCCTACAGGTCAGCTCCTAAAGGTCATCTCCTACACGTCAGCTCCTACAGGTCAGCTCCTAAAGGTCATCTCCTACACGTCAGCTCCTACAGGTCAGCTCCTACAGGTCAGCTCCTACACGTCAGCTCCTACACGTCAGCTCCTACAGGTCAGCTCCTACACGTCAGCTCCTAAAGGTCAGCTCCTACACGTCAGCTCCTACAGGTCAGCTCCTAAAGGTCATCTCCTACACGTCAGCTCCTACAGGTCAGCTCCTACAGGTCAGCTCCTACACATCAGCTCCTACACGTCAGCTCCTACACGTCAGCTCCTAAAGGTCAGCTCCTAAAGGTCAGCTCCTACACGTCAGCTCCTACAGGTCAGCTCCTAAAGGTCAGCTCCTACACGTCAGCTCCTACACGTCAGCTCCTAAAGGTCAGCTCCTAAAGGTCAGCTCCTACAGGTCAGCTCCTACAGGTCAGCTCCTACACATCAGCTCCTAAAGGTCAGCTCCTACAGGTCAGCTCCTACAGGTCAGCTCCTACACGTCAGCTCCTACACGTCAGCTCCTACACGTCAGCTCCTAAAGGTCAGCTCCTACAGGTCAGCTCCTAAAGGTCAGCTCCTACACGTCAGCTCCTAAAGGTCAGCTCCTAAAGGTCAGCTCCTACACGTCAGCTCCTAAAGGTCAGCTCCTACAGGTCAGCTCCTACAGGTCAGCTCCTACACGTCAGCTCCTACACGTCAGCTCCTACAGGTCAGCTCCTAAAGGTCAGCTCCTACAGGTCAGCTCCTACAGGTCAGCTCCTAAAGGTCAGCTCCTAAAGGTCAGCTCCTAAAGGTCAGCTCCTACAGGTCAGCTCCTAAAGGTCAGCTCCTAAAGGTCAGCTCCTACAGGTCAGCTCCTACACGTCAGCTCCTACAGGTCAGCTCCTACAGGTCAGCTCCTAAAGGTCAGCTCCTACAGGTCAGCTCCTACAGGTCAGCTCCTACACGTCAGCTCCTACAGGTCAGCTCCTACACGTCAGCTCCAACACATCAGCTTGCTGCAGGAGCTGGGGATCGAACCCTCGAACTTCTGGTTGAGAGACCACCGACTCTACTGAGCCACAGCTGCCCTCCTTATCTCTAACCATAATGTCATAACGTCTTGTCTGTTTTGTATTGTATCCTGTCATCTTGCATCATTTCGTATAATATCATATTTACTGTATGAATAAACTTAATGCAAAGTTTCTTAAACAATGTCTGCACTCTGCTGGAACAACTTTAGTTAGGTGACCTTTTGGCTAGATTTAAGAAAACTGCTTTCAGACAATCAGCATTAGCAGTGAGAACCACATAAGTGGAACTTCCTGCCCAGGGACCACAGATGTAAAATAGCTCTATAGCTAACTCTGGTCCAACAGTTGTGTTGTGCATGGCCCCCGTCAAATAAACTGAACTAAAATGATTAATGAATAATGACTATTGATGGCAGTGTGTCCTCACTGAGGGTTTAATCAGACGACAGCATAAAATAAAAATGTATATATAGATTAATATAATTCACATGTGGTTACAGATTGTAGTAATACAAACAGTCATTGGCGTTGTAGTGGGGGAAAGTGGGGCTGACTACCCAGGGCCCAAATGGAGGAAGGGGTCCTTGTTGGTCCTGAAATAAATCTATAATTTTAGTGTGGATTTGTTTCTTTCTAATCAGAACTGTCAGCGTAAAGGGAAAACTGGACCAACAAATCAACATGATTTCTAAATCTAATAACTGCAAAATTATTCAAATATCAAAAAAACACAGATTTAAATTTAATTTATTGTTATCACTTGTAAACTACCAGTATTGGGTGATTTATTTTTTTCAATCACCAAAAAATTGCAGACAAACTCCTGCTCGCTGAATGTTTGTGTACAAGTTAGAAGTGTGCAGAAGTTTGTCTGTAATATTTGATGGACTCATTCGTCCCTTAAAACCCTGTCTTACAATAATAGATGTAGTTTTTTCAAAGGCTTCAGTACTTTTGATAGTGTTGATCATTAAAAGTCACATATTATGCCAAATACACTTTAGCATGTTTTTCTAACACTAATATGTGTTTCTAGTCTGTCTACAAACCCCCAGATTTCTGAGAACAGTCCATCCTCTCTGTCTTTTGCCTGTTCCACTTTTCAGAAAATGTGTGCTCAAACAGGCCGTTTGGAGATTTTCCCTTCATGACATCACAAAGGGCAGTAACCCCTCCCCCAGGTGGGTGACACTCCCGCAGCTAGGTGTTTGTTCTGCCCTCTGAGTCTGCCTTCTCACCTTAAACAATATAACATGGAGATGGAAGCCTGATTTGATCTAAATAAAACCCTTTATGCAAAGACAATATCAATCCCTCACTCTGTGTTTCAACATGAATTTCTCAAATATATGCATCAACTGTCTGACTGTTACGCTGTACCTGTCAGGTGACATGTTACACTCAACCTGCTCGCTGCTTGCCAGTGTCATCTGAGGACAGCTGCAGATTCGCCGTCCTGCACGCTCCTGACCCAAACTAAACAGTCACTTTATCCTGATGAACTGATAAGTGTTACATTCATATAAACTTTAGTTCATGACTGGAAGACAATAAAATCAAAGTTATACCGTCAGCTTCACTTAGAACAATGTGAGTCTGCTCCACCGTTTGTTTCATCTTTACATTTATAATGAATCGATTACAACCTGTGAAGTGTTTTCATGACAGAGATTATTTTATATTGTTCTTTAAAATTGGATCTATTGATGTCATTAGAAATAAAGAAAGATTCAGTCCTGACATCATATTTAAGAATATATTCTATCTACAGTCTCTGCTCAACACACAAGTACAAAAAACAGATCTGCTGAATTATCAAACTGACTGTCACAGTTTGTTTGTGTGTGCCTGTATGTGAGTGTGTGTGTGTCAGCAGCAACAGGTGTGTAGCAGCATGAGGTCAATATCTGACTAATAAAAAGTAAAGAAACAGAGTTTTTACCTCCTTCAGCTGAGCCAGACGGTCCTTCATGATGTCACGTTTTTCTGATTTAAATTTTTTTTTAGAGTGCAGAGTATGTGTGTGTGTGTATTTGTATGTGTGTGTCCCTCAGGTTTTAAAATGGCCTCCTGGTTAACCTGCAGATGGACATGATGACACGAACTGAACGAGGAGAGCTGTCAGTCAGAGTCAGGATTTTAAAAAAAGAAAAAGAAAAAATTATAAATAAACAAATAAACAAACAGGAAAATAAACAAACTAATTAAACAAATAAATAGATAAATAGATAGAGTCCGTGTGTGTGTGTGTGTGTGAATGTCTGACACACAACCTGAAGTCCCACTAAGCCTCTAAGAACAGATTAGGACTACAGTTTCCACGACGATAAATCCCTCCCCTTCCTCCCCCTCTCCCTCCCTTCCCCCTCTCCCACTGCACATAAACTCTGTATGTGTGAGGTGATTATATTGATATTCATCTGATGTTTATGAGTTATTTTTCTGAGCTTGTATTGAATAATTTAATATAGTTTTTATACAATCAAATATATATTTTTAAAGCCGAGACACTTCACAAACTTCCTCAGAGTCCATCACGCTGACTGACAATTATTTTCAACATTTCCATAAATTGCACAAATTAGCATAGAAGTTGCCAACATATTTGTGCAATTTCAAACATTGGCAATACATTTAATTCAGAGTCAGTGTGATTGAATTTGCCTGTTTAGAAAATTATATTTGAAATAATTTTATAGAAACAAAAATATAATTGATACGCATATTAAGTATGTTTAGCATGTTAGAAAATGTCAAATGAATTGAAAACAAACGTTCACAGCTGAAACATTTGATCATACACATTTTCTATCAATAAATTTAAAAGATAATCTGCTGAGTCAGATTAATTTTTATGTTTTATATAATCATATTATATTTATTGATGTAAAGTATTATTAATTTGAAGAGTGACTGAACTTTTGAGGATGTTCTTATAATACGTTTCATTCATCGTCTCATCACAGGGAGGCTGTGGTTGTCATTTATTGCCTCTAGAGGGCGCCAGTGTGATTCAGACTCAGTGTTGATTATTGCAGACGGAATAATTCAAACGCAATTGAAATGATAAATCAATCCTGAATTCACAACGAGGAACAGAGCTTCATATTTCAAACTGAAATTACAATTTTTCATATATTTTTTTCATATTTGTCAACATGAGAAATTTTAGTTTAAAAAACAATACGACATAAAACCCTGGATCACCTGTGACTCTGTGAGCATGTTTAATCTGACAGACCAATCAGATCTCTTTAAATTAATATAGATGGATGATAAATCATTACATTCTTTAAAGCGACAGTGAGGAAGACATGAGGAAATCACAGATATAATTTACCATCCAATAAATAACTTAACCAGATCTATATGAAATATTTACCTGGAATAATCACTCAGGTGTGTCTCTCTCTGTGCAGGGCCGGCTCTGCCCATTTTGGTGCCCTGGGCAAGATCATGATTTGACCCCCCCATATATTGTACGATAAAACACAAATCCTGTGAATACATTTCAGAGCTGCTACAATCTTTAGTTCTATATCTACTACCTCTAATCTATAGTTATATTTCTACACCCTCTAATGTATAGTTATAATACCCTCTGATCTATAGTTATATATCTACACTTTCTAATGTATAATCTACTCAATGTAATCTTTTGTTATAAATCTACTCCCTCTAATCTATAGTTATATTTCTACACCCTCTAATCTTTTGTTATATATCTACTACCTCTAATCTATAGTTATATTTCTATACCCTCTAATGAATAGTTTTAATACCCTCTGATCTATAGTTATATATCTACTACCTCTAATCTATAGTTATATTTCTACACCCTCTAATGTATAGTTATAATACCCTCTGATCTATAGTTATATATCTACACCCAACTAATCTAAAGTTATAAATCTACTCCCTCTAATCTATAGACATATTTCTACTCCCTCTAATCTAGTCATATTTCTACTCCCTCTAATCTATAGTCATATCTCTAGACCCTCTAATCTATATAGCTATTCTAATCTATAGTCATAGTTCTACTCCCTCTAATCTATAGTTATATATCTACACCCTCTAATCTATATATCTATTCTAATCTATAGTCATATTTCTACTCCCTCTAATCTATAGTTATATATCTACAACCTCTAATCTATATATCTATTCTAATCTATAGTCATATTTCTACTCCCTCTAATCTATAGTTATATATCTACACCCTCTCACCTGGTGAAAAACAATTCATCACGGTTAATAATATTCAGCTTTGTTTAAAGTTAAAATAATGAAAAATGTTCGTAAAATCGCCTCATTCTCACCTAAATATTCACACTTCCATCAATCAATCAATCAATCAATCAATCAATCCATCCTAATTTGTATAGCGCCAATTCACAACCCGTTATCTCAAAACACTTTACAAAAAGATGGTAAAATATATATATTTTTGTTATATTATTATATTATGGGACATTTCCCTCATAGGCTACTATTAAGACTTCATTGTCATATCATTGTTATAATAATAACATTGTAATAATGCGGCTTAACACTCGTTATCTTCGTAGTTTTTCTTAAACGCTGCTCCATCACTCCCTGCTACTTAAGATCTTTTCATTCATTCGGAAAAAGTCCGATATGACTTTCATGGAGAGTTATCATATTTCCGATGCCACATAATGCATCACTTGTTGGCCGTACCCCCACCATCATCTCCAGCACATATCTCCTGCACCCTGTGTTTGTTAGTGTGTGTGATGCAGCAATGACACACTGACCAGACTGTGTGTGGCGAGCTTTGAACAGACCGAATAGAACTGCATGAGACGGTAAGAGAGAAACATGTTTTTTTTGCACAGTGGGGAGGGTCTGTTTTTATGTTTACAGTGTGTGTGTGTGTGTGTGTGTGTGTGTGTGTGTGTGTGTGTGTGTGTGTGTGAGAGAGAAGTTTTGTTCCGCTCGCTGTAATTAATAGCTCTGTGTGCTCTCAGCCTGGGGGCTTTTTAAAGAGCAGCTCTGTGAGGCGTTCAAGTCTCTTCTGATAAACTGGTAGAAGCGTAGGAAACGGAGAAGATCTGATGATTAAACACACGGATGACCGATCAGTCGGTTTAATGATCGGTACTCAGCGGTAATGCACACCCACAGAAATCATCATCGATTATTTTTTATCACGTTCCGGTGCGTGTGTGTACATCTGTGTTATCTCTGAGTGTGTGTTATCTCTGAGTGTGTGTTATCTCTGAATGTGTGTTATCTCTGTCTGTGCTGCAGCCTATCTGTATTAAACACACACACACGGGGGCTCTAAACTTCGTAGTCGGAGTCAAATTAGGATAAATACAATACCGATGTTTCTGTAATGTCTCGGTTTGAGACATTCTTATGAATCAAATACACACACTGTCTGTGGTTGTAGCCCCGCCCCTCTGCGCTGTGCCCGTGGACATATCCCACGCCCTCATTTTTACATAATTTTATCAAAAAGGTTTTTTTGTTTTTTTTGGGGGGGGGGGGGTTAAACCCATAAAAAACAAAAACAGGCTGGAATTCGCCCTCTTTTGTCTTCTTCGTGCCTTTCTTAGGGTAGCGTTCACAGGGAGTGGCATTCCCCCCCTCCCATCCCTTCCTTTTTAGGGCGGGGACCAGCGAGGCTTTCAGGAACTGTCGGGAATATGACCACCACAGAAAGACCCTCCCTCTTTCGAGGCTGAGGGAGAAATCTTCCTCCAGGGTCGCGGGTCAGTCCCAGATTGAAATCAGAACCGGATTTATAAACACAGTTACACACACGGAAGTTTACACCAATTAAAATACAGAAATAAAACAAGAAAATAATCTAGGAAACTGCAGAACAGATGAGAGTTTGCATTTAATTATACACTTACATATTTTAGGTGTGATGGAAGAGTCTTTCAGTTTGAGCACAAATGTGAAGATGTGAACCAGAGAGTGATTTGCAGATGAACCAATGCGTCGGTGCATCACTAATCTTTGATTTTTACTACATTCATACCAAAGTTAAACATCTTGGTATTGTTACAACCCTTATAGTGTGAATACAATAATAAGTGCTGGGTGTGTGATGGAGTCTCAGATGTTGATTTATTCCCTCAGTAAACATTTAAGTTTAACACTAGAACGACCAGCATTCTATCACTACTAGAAAGGCCATAGCGGTCATTTTGACTGTTTACGAATTATTTGCATATCATTTCAATAACCAATATCAAATATAAGAATAAATGGATCTGTAATGTTGTGAAAGGTATAATAAACTTCAGGACACAAACATTAAATTCTAATGAATTTGAATAGTTTATCAACAACCACGGGAACAGCAGCCGGCGTTTTTTGCGAATGAGAATGATCTCTTTATCATTCTCAGGTTCAATCTCAGAGCCAGTGTCAGATGAAGAGAGACCAGGAGAAATCACTTTCCAAACCACATTCTGCCGGTGCAACAACAGCATGTCTCCGTGGTTAAAGGTCTGGCTGATAAACTGGCCTTCCTGCAGTCCTGTTCTGTCACCCTTTAAAACTATACGTGTAGAATTATGTTGCATAAAACAAGAGGAAGGAGACCCTGAACTGTTGAACAACTGAGGTCCTATAAGGAGAATGACACAAACCGGTCTCCTCAGTTCACAAACACTTACACAGTTGTTTATCCTTTAATGTCAGCGAGCATGAGGACACAGTGATGCTATGATCAAATCTGTCCTTCTCTCTGTGTGTTCAGATGATGTGGTGGTGTGCGCTCCTGCTCTGTGCGGCTCTCTCTGTAGGTGAGTAAAATCATCGCTCTATTACCTATCCTGACAGTCAGGAGACAAATCAACTTTTAAGAAATATTACATAATTTAAATACGTCTGCTTGTGATGAAAGGTGTCAGGTCATACTCACTGATAAACACACACTGATGACAGCAATGTTTTTTTATTTGTGGTCCAATCAGGAAACAGCCTTGAAATTAACGTTAATAAACATGATGGATACTCATGGTCACGTCTTTTAACACTATAAACTATCACTCCACACCTGAGTGTAAAGAGTGTTTGTTGTTTATCAAACTGTTCATCAGCTGTTGTTGTCGTGTTGTCTCAGAGTCGTACACCGTCCACGAACTATATGAGAACTTGAGTCACGGTCGACAGCTGAAGATCTACCTGCCAAAGAGTGTCGATAAGCTTGAGTTCACGCCCGCTGATGAGCCCAATAAGATCTTTCTGTACTGGGAGAGGGGCCACGCCAGGTGAGCTACACTGAGAGGAGGGGCTTATGGTGAGGTTTTGTTACCATGCTTACAGAATCTGTTGTCCTCTACAGGGCCTCCAGAGGCCGAGTGTCAGGGACAGGAACTGACCGCCGCTGGTACCTCGAGAAGGTAAGGCTCAGTGTTTGGTTGTGATTGGGAAAATGTCATAATACTGAGAGGGGAATCGTCCTGCTCCATCGTGCAGTTGGCTCTTATTTTGCGTCTGAACGTGAAGAAAAGCTATCAGCACCTTCCTCTGCCTGGAGCTGCACTCTCATGCTGACAGAGCTCCATTCTGTCCACATAAAGATGATGAGCTAGGAGGGGAGGGGAAACTTTTTACACTTTATTTTGAGGCCAGACTCTCAAAATGTGATATGACTTTCTCCATTTATACAAAGCATCCTCCCTGAATGGGGCAAAAAAGGACAACTCAAAGTAACAGGAGGGTGACGGTGGAGGTGCAGCAGCACTAAGTAAATCTCAGATTAACCAGAGATATACACGGCTACTGATGGTAAACTTATAGTGGAAGATGAACTCTTAAACTTCCTCGCCATTAAACTTAAGACTCTGAGCCAGGATGATTTTGTTTTGCTGGCTGTGAACCACCTTGGATCTGAATAGATTAAGAGTTCCTAAAAAGTGCTGTTTGGACTCTGCCCAAGGTCTGAAATGAATGCATTCATCTTTAAATTGCATTTATCACATGCTATTTTGTCCCTTTAGGCCACCATAAGCCTCAGCAGTGTTGTTCTTTTCCATCACTGTGACTACAGGGAGACACTGCTGTGCCTTTGAATCATTTCCGTTTAGAAACTCTCAGAATTGTTTTCCTAATCACCAGACAATTTGAGTGTGATGTCTTTTATAAATACTGCGGCGCAGTTTCCACCAACTCCCAGCAGACAGTCAGTTTTTTTTCACTCTAACTGTGAGTGATCGTTAACGCCAGTGTTTGTGTATTAGACAGTTTTGACAATGAAGCCGATTTTGTTTTTTCCCCAAGTGACTGCATAATGTCTCATTAAACCCTGTGTGTGTGTTTTATGGATTAGATGGGGTCTCTTTGATTCATTTGTAAAGTTTAGTGTGCACAAAATCTGCACAATCCTTTTCAGCATCCCGCCCTGCGTATGTGTGTGTCTCTATCAGGTGACCTATGAGGACCAGGGGACGTACACACAGAGAGACTACTGGAACAAGGAGGTCTCCATTGTTAAAGTGGTCATCAAGCGTGAGTTAGCTTAGCACCTTTTTTTTTTTAGCTGTGATGCTAACAGTTTTTTTCCCCCCTAAGCTGTTCTTAACTCTCAAAGTTTCAGTTTGAACTAAACAGATGTGTAAGTGTGATGATAACATGTTCATGAGAGAGCTGCCTTATAAACACAGTCAGCTGTATTCATATACAATGAGTTTGAGCTGACGTAAATATAAAACACACTTAATGTGATTCATAACATGTTGCGTAACATATTAACATTCATATAACATCTATATAACACATAACGTGAAAAGACCTTCATAAAACATCTATATCATATCATATATCGTAACATTTACTTTGGTGTAGACAACATATGATAACATGAGTATAAAAAAAATCATGGGCGCGGATGGCCTTGCAGTTAGGTTGTGCCCCATGTATGATGGCTAACAGCTAGTCGTCCCATGTTCAAGTCTGACCTGTGGATCCTTTAGGGCATGCCAGATTACCTACTCTCTCTCTCTCTACTGATTTCTATCCACTGTCCTATCAAATAATGTCAAAAATAATCCTTCTAATACAAAAAGTTAGATTGACAACCACTTTTAAATATAGGCTGTAGGTTCACTGCATACAGGGTTGTGTCCAGAGGGTTGGCCAGGGGTGGCTTGAGCCCCCCTTGAAATCTTATTGGCCATCACAGGTGCCACCCCAAAATCCAAATCTATGATTGGCTTTTTGCCGAGTCAAAGGCGGGATTTAAGTACAAATCAACTATTCTGGCTGTTCAACAGGTTAATGGGAGTACTGTCAGTTGTAAATAAACACTTTCCTTCGGTCTCACGGTCTCACTTGCAATGGCCTTACTTGCCAATGAATGTATTTTTGCAACTTAGACAGCTCAAGAGTTTGCATGCAAAAAGTACTCTAAATTGTTACATTGCACATCTTTGGAAAGGGTTAAAAAATGAAATCCATTTGCGTGTGCGTGTCCACAAACTTCAGGCCACCCCTGCATAAGTCAGTGCCCAAGGTCGGCCGCCCCAGTTATAAAAGTATGGCCACGCCCCTTACTACATAACCAGCCATGCAAGTGCAATTTGCCATCATGATGTAGTAGTTTGCGCTATTGACAATGACCCAAGCCTTGTACATGGCTGTCTTCTGTCCTTGCAGCTGGCAAAAAATTTGTTGTGTATCGTGGTAATTTAAGTCCTGTTAACAGCCATGGCTGCTCGACATAGTTGTAGGCATCTCAGGACCTCGGTGGCGGCCATTCAACCTTTGAGCGAGCCAGTCGGCAAGTCTGCTCCTGTCAGTCAGTGTTTATTGAAACCAGTAACACTCTCAGAGCCAGAGAGAAATGACTTCATATATATGTTCAGAGACTCAGATTATCTTCAGCCCTTGTTGGAAGCAAGCCAAAAACAACTTGCTAGCTAGCTTGGCTAATGTAATTGGAAGATTGTTTTCCCTCCAGCTAGGCCACGCCCACTAAAAAAACACTTTCAGGGTCTATATAACATAACATTTTAAACATATAATATATATATATATATATATATATATATATATATATATATATATATATATATATATATATAGTGTATTACATAACACTATACTCCATGTATGTAACATGTTATAATATGACATGTTGTCTTGTAGCGCGATACAACTACCCGAAGTGTGTGGCAGGAGAGAGCCTGTACATCCCTCTGGAGGGACTCGACCTCGCAGACAGCTTCCTGAAGTTCAGTGGGGCCGTCAATGTCACTCTGGTGAGATTACAGTGGGGAGATTTCAAATGAGGGGGGGTCAATGGAGCAATGAATGAATGATAGATTGGTTGATGTAGAGTTGATTTATGGATGGATAACTGATTGATGGATGGGTGAGTGATAGAGACAAGGTGGGGATGCGTCATTTGTTATATTCCATCCGTGGCTCAGATGTACAGGTGTGATCCTCTGACATGATGTGTCTCCTCAGGTGAGGGAGGGGGCTCGGGTCTCTCAGGACCTACCAGACTACTGGGACCGTGTTCAGACTCACTCAATGAAAATCGAGATTCTGAACGTGAACGTCAGCGATGAAGGTCACTATTATCTGAGGGACCGCAGAGACCGGCTGGTGTCTGTCACCAGGATGGAGCTGACAGGTGAGACACTCGTTTAATCTTCACAGGTGAGACACTCGTCACAGGTGAGACACTCGTTTAGTCTTCACAGGTGAGACACTCGTTTAGTCTTCACAGGTGAGACACTCGTTTAGTCTTCACAGGTGTTACGTTGTATGTTGTTTTGTCGCCCTCTGCTGGTTGTAATGTGTAACTGTTTGTAACCTGTCGACTAATTGCTTTTGTCTTCCCCGAGGGTGTGTATGGTTGGGGGTGATTGAGGACGGTGCAAATAAGAAGGCAGGAACTGCCCGGCTCGCATTCTCTCTCTCCTTGGCTCCTGAGAGTCATGACAGAATGTCTATCCAGTATCAATGTTGTCTAACTAACCTGGTAGAGTGTTTATCCCTTTATCGCGGCTTTTGTTCATTGTTTTAAGGGATCCTGTGGTTTTGGTGGTAGAGGGTGAGTGCCGGTCCGACGGCCCTGTGTGGGCTGGTTTGGGTGGCTGACCTTTCTTTTTGGTTTTGTTTTGTACCCCAGGTTTTCAGCTCATAGTTTTGTTGTTTCGTTGTTCGATTGTAAAAATAAACGTTTTCTTTGAAATGATTTAATTTCTGATTGATTTATGTTCGACTCCCGGTAAAAACGAGTAATTACTTTAGGGGTCGTAACATAATTGGGGGCTCGTCCTTATTGATAGTGACTTTTTCGATTTGTGCCCTAGTTGGCATTTGGGTTATCTAAAAAGTTTGTTAATTCCTTTGATGTCAAGCCTTTTGAATTTTGGTGACTTTGTTGGCACAGTTTTTGGATGTTTTTGGTAGAGCTTGTGGCTGTTTGCGGTAATTTTGTATTCAGGGTTTTGTAGTTGCCTTCTGGCTATAAGATTGAAACTCGTGGACAAGGTGTGTGTGACGTTTTTCTGTCCTCAGAATGGAATTTAGACTTTCAGACTTTGTTGAATCTCCTACCTCGGAAGTACTGGATCACTGTACGAAGGACAATTTATTGTTAATCGCTGAACACTATAATGTAACTGTCTCAAAGCAAAAGTAAAAAGTAGCATATTGTTAAAGAGGAGTTGTGTGTTGCTTTAATTGAGAAGGGTGTTTTGATGCCATTGCGGAGCGCTCCGACAACTCCCGAGCAATTGAAACAAGGTTTGGTTGACACAGTGAGACTTAAAGAACTAGAGGTAGAATTACAGCACATCGCTTTAAAAAGAGAAAGAGTTGAAGTATGCGAGCAAGTTGGAGTCTAAAACACTTGAGATTCGCATGAGTTAGAGCTTGGTGCTGTGTCTCATGTCCCTTCCAGGTCCGCAGATTTCAATGTAAGTAGAAACATCCGTTTGGTTCCTCAGTTTAATGATAAAGATGTAGACAGATACTTTGTCATTTTTGAACGAGTGGCTACGACGCTGAAGTGGACGAGAAATGTGTGGTCTGTGTTATTGCAATGTGTTTTGGTTGGCGCAGAAGGTTTGCTCGTCGTTGTCAGCGGAGGACAGCAAGAGTGCTCAGGGCTTCTGAGCTAGTGCCAGAAGCATACCGCCAGAAATTTTGTGGGTTAAGGAAACCAAATTATTAGACATATGTTGAATTTGCTCGTGACAAAGAGACGTTATTTGAATCGCTGGTGTTCTTCGAATGAAGTGAAGGATTTTGAACAGCTTAAGCAGATGGTACTTTTGGAGGATTTTAAAAACTGTCTCCCAGAGAAGGTAGCAATACATTTAAATGAGAACAAGGTATCAGATGTGTCTAAGGCTGCTGCCATGGTGGATGAATATGTCCTGACGCACAAACCCGTGTTTGTTGAACGGTTTGTCAACAGTTTCTGATGTTGCTAAACGTTCTCTTCATTCAGAGCTTGGAAATAACAAGGATGATTCAAAAGGAAAATAATCTTTCATGTGTTTCTATTGTAAGACAATGGGGCATATTGTGGCAAGTTGTCCTGTGTTGAAAATGCGAATTAACACCTTGGTTGAGAAACTGCATAGATTTGTGAGAGATGAGGACATGTGTAGTGATCTGGAGGACTTTGGTCCCTTTACTATGGATGGTGTTGTTTCGTTACCTGGTAAGAATCTGAAGGTCCCTGTGAAAATGCTTCATGACACCGCTGCCTCGCAGTCTTTTATTCTGGAGGGAGTTTTACCATTCAGTAGTGAGTCTGCTGTGGGCTCAGATGTCCCTGTCGTCGGCTTTGGCATGGAGGGCATAGGTGTGCCTTTGCATAAAATCATGGTGGAATCTGATCTGGTATCAGGTGAAGTGTCCGTTGGAGTTCATCCTGGCTTCCCGATTAAGGGGGTGGCCTTTGTGATGGGAAATGACTTTGCTAAAGGAAAGGTGTTAGTGACACCTGAGGTAACGCCGATCCCAATACGACAGACTCCTGATGAGTTGGCTCAGAGATTTTCTAAGGTTTTTACAGCTTGCACTGTTACTCATTCCCGTCATAAGCAACTTGAGGAGGAACTTGATTTAAGTGACAGTGTTCTGTTTCGTCCTGATGACAGTGGCTCATTGGCTTCAGATGTTATTGGAGAAGAGCTGAGTGCCGGTGAGTCTGCAAAAGTGGTCTCTAGTATGGGATAAATGTCTTTGTCTCATGAACAGTTAGTAACCGAGCAGAGGAAGGATGTCGCTTTATCTCATTTGTTTGAAGCTGCTGTAGCTGAGGAGAAAAGTGAGTCATTGTCCGCTGGCTGTTTCTTGAGAGACGGGTTGCTCATGCGCAGATGGACACCTTTGGGTTGCGGAAGACTGGAGTGTTGTGACCCAGATTGTTGTTCCTGGTCCATATCGGAATGAAATCTTGTCTTTGGCACATGATAATCCCTTTGCTGGGCATTTGGGTATAATGGGTATATACATATGATCGCATATTGCGGCATTTTTTGTTTGGCCTGGGTTAAAGAGGGATGTCACACGTCATTGTAAATCATGTCACACATGTCAGGTAGCTGGGAAACCCAATCAGATTATTCCACCTGCTCCGCTGTATCCAATTCCAGTGTTGCGTGAGCCATTTGAACGCGTCTTGGTTGACTGTGTGGGTCCCCTTCCTCGTACGAAGGCTGGAAATAAGTTCTTGTTGACAGTGATGTGCGCATTGACTCGCTTTCCTGAAGTGTGTTGTAAAGGCTCTGACTACATTTTTTCATTGTTCGGCCTGCCTAAAGTGGTGCAATCGGACCAAGGCTCGGCCTTTATGTCGCGTGTGTTTTCCTAGGTGATGAAGCAGTTGAAAATAAAACACTGTCATTCAAGTGCATTTCATCCGGAGAGTCAGGGGGCGCTGGAACGTTTTCACCAGACGTTGAAGACAATGTTGCGAACATTTTGCCTTGAGTTTGAGAAGGACTGGGATGAGGGGGTTCACATGCAGCTGTTTGCCATAAGAGAGGTGGTGCTGGGATTCAGTCCATTGGAGCTGGTATTTGCTCACTCTGTGCGTGGTCCTTTGATGCTCTTGAAGGAGACGTGGTTGTCAGAAGGCACAGAGCAGAATCTTCTGGATTATGTGAGTAAATTCAGATTTAAGCTATGTCATGCTTGTGAAATTGCTCAGGGAAACCTTGCTTCAGTACAGGCGAGGATGAGGATGAAGGTCTGGTATGACAAGCATGCGAGAAGCAGAAAGTTTTCTCCTGGTGATAAAGTGTTGTTGTTGTTGCCGATTCCTGGTTCTAGCTCGCAGGCAAGCTTTAGTGGGCCTTATTTAGTACAGGAAAAGGTTGGTGGTAGAGATTACCTTGTAGCTACTCCGGATCGTAGATGCAGATGTCGTTTATGCCATGTCAATATGCTGAAGCCATATTTTGACAGAGGTCAGGCACAGCGAGAGGTGGAGTTTAAGGCTGTAGCGGGTAATGAGCGTGTTTCATCTGTTGCGCTGTCCAGTGCTGAAATCACTTCACCGTGTGTGACTGAGGGAGCAGGTATGGCGCTGTCCGGGGCTGAACTCGCCGCTCCGTGTGTCTTGTGACAGGACTGGTGTTGCAGATGCTGAAGTGAATGAAGGGGGTATGCATGTGGCGTTGACGACGGGTAAGTTGACGAATTCGCAGATCTTGCAGGATCTTCCTTCTCGTTTGTCTCACCTGTCTTTGTCCCAGTGTTCAGAAGTGGTTAAACTTGTTTAGTCTTCACAGGTGAGACACTGGTTTAGTCTTCACAGTGAGACACTGGTTTAGTCTTCACAGTGAGACACTCCTTTAGTCTTCACAGTGAGACACTCCTTTAGTCTTCACAGTGAGACACTCCTTTAGTCTTGACAGGTGACCAACAGTGACACCTGAAGGTTTTACCTCACTTTTTGGCAAGTTTGGCGTTCTGCAGGTTAGTGGGGGTGAAAGTAGGCCGGTATGGTCCAGTACTGCGGACCACTAAAAGAGACTATCAATAAAATCAAATACATTGAAGAGATCTCTAATGCTGGAAAGGTACATTGGAAACGTCATTACTTAATTTAGCCCTTTAAACTATTCAACACTGATCAGAATGTAACTGTGTGGACTGAAATATGAGTTCTGATCTGTAGTGTCCCCACATGTTCTCCGACTGGTAAAGTCAGATCAGGTTTGTTTTTAGAGATCAACACGCAGAGGATGTTCAAACAACTTGACTGACAGGAAATGTTTAGGTTGTGGTCTAATACCTAAAACGCTCAGAATGAGCCCCTTTTCCGCATTCCTTTGCGTGAAGAAGCACGCTGTTTGTTTAGTTGTTGTGACTTGTTTCATTCTTAACATTAACCATCCCGACCGTCAGAAAATCTTCAATTCTGCTCAGGTTGGCTCATGTTTTATCGAGCGCCCTCTCTCATTCAATCATAACCCTTCATTTACAATGGAATCTTAAACCATGTAATGTGTTCCTTACAGCTCGCCATGAGTACTCAGAGGGGAACCCTCTCATGGCTCTGCTGCTGCTGCTCGGGATCCCTGCAGGGATCTGCTGCTGCTGCCGCAAGAAGATCTTCAAGCAGAAACAAAACACAGCAAACACGCTGCAGGTACAAACACACACCCGCTACACACACAATCCACAACATTTACACCTAGCATCACACTCACACAACATGCACACACCTTCACAGTGTACTCTGAATCTGTTGGCTCTTGTCTGGCGCTGGATGACTCCTTGGTAACTGAATCCAGCCGTATAAACATGAAACTATATTCAGCCCAGACTTTTTTTCAGGGCGCTGCATTGTTCTGTTCTCATTGGCTGATTAGAAACTTGAAAAGTGAGAGCAGAGTGGGTGTTAGGTGGGGGTTGTTTCTGTTTGTATAAATCCAATGAAGAAATCGTGAAACAGACTGGAGATTATAACACCATTTAATCGGCCGAGGTCAGACAACTTCATCAAACAAGCACGCTTCCAAATCACTTGACTGACAAAGTGCTGACAAAGTAACAGTGTTCACAGTGCTGCTTATATTCTGTCAAAAAGGTGCAGCCCACAAATTCCTTTCCATTTGGGTGCATCACCATAAAACAATAAAGATAACATGACACTGATTTGTATACGTAACAACTGTAGACTCTCTGTCTAGCAAACAGTTGCTGACAACATATGGTCGGCTCCTATCCAAATATAGATCTGCTACTACTTAGGTGCTTCGCTCATATAAGGTTACAGCTTCAGACACCTAAAGGTAGGAGTGTTAACAGGTGGTAGACAGACTTGAATAATACATTTCACGAAGTTACCAAGATTAATGAATTTCATGAAAATTCGTACTAACAGTGGGAGTTCAGAGACGATGTCAAAGTGTAGATGTTTGACAGAGGGATAAAGGGAGAGACAAACAGAGCAGCAAAAACCGATTTATAGCTACATTACCAGTAATAATGATAGCAGTGTGTGCAGTATTAGCAGTAACCGCTAAGTATGATAACAGACTGATCAGTCTGATACTAACATTAGCAACTATCAATGGAAAGGACTCATGATGTCAATTATAAAGGCTTAAGTTAAGCACTCAAATATTTATAATAATGTTAACGGAGTTGAGGCTGATATTAATATTTGTGGGGGTGACCACACCATCGAACCAGAGGAATAAGATGGTGCCTGACCATTAAGAGCTTTGCAAGTGAGTGAGTGTCTTTCTCTTCTCCCTCCTCTCTCTCTCTCTCTCGCTCTCTCTCTCTCTCCAGGCCGTCCCTGTTGCGGTCCATCCCCCCCCTCCCGTTGGACCTGTTGGTCCTGCTCCTCCCTATAGCTCTGGACCTCCAGGAGGGGTGAGAACACAACACCATCAACCTAATCAATCTTAATATTTTAAAATATGTCTTTTTATTCCTGACTCTGTGTCTGTGTCTCTGTGTGTGTGTGTGTGTGTGTGTGAGCAGGTGTACTACCATGGCCCTGACCCCAACATGGTACAAACAAACAGTTGTTACACACACAGAGCTAATCCAATCATTCAGTTATCATCTGATTATTAGATCACTTATTGATTAACCTAAGATGTGTTTGTGTATGTATTTATCTGTGTGTTCAGGGTCCTACAATGTACCCCCCTCCTCAGCCTGTAGGTCCAGGACAGTGGCAAGGCCCCCCTCCCTCCCAGGTGAGCTGCTCTATTTATAAATGAATGATTAAACTGTATTAAATATCATATATATATATATATATATAAAATGTGTTGTAATGTTAAGCTTCCCCTCCCCCCTTTTCCTGATTGGTCCTCTGCAGGGTTTTAACCCCGCCTACCCTCCTCAGAATCCAGCCTACCCCCCTGCTGGTCCACAGTGGAACGGTCCGCCTCCGGGTATGCATCCCCCAGGCCCTGCTGCTCCGATGGTATGACTCTCCCCCCCCCCCCCCAAGGTTTTACCTTTGACCTTTAGAGGCTTTAAAATGTGATTTTGAAGATTGTCACTACAGTTATACAAATAATATCCTGTGAAAATGAGTGTACTAGGACGCTCCTTTGGCAAAGGGTAGGTATTAAATATAAAGACATTAAATATAATAATATAAAAAGACAACAAAGATTCTCAGAAAGATTAAATTTAGTATCTGCCTAAATCTGTACATTTACATGCATCTGATTGGTTGATAAGACTCAGACTACAAACAGGAAACAAAATGAACAATTCCTGATCATGAATGCAGATATCGGTTTGTAGGAAATAGTTAATCTTCAAATGTACATGTGTTTGTGTGTAGGGCTATGCTCCAGCTCCAGTCATGTACAGCTCTCCTCCACCAGAGGAGCTGAAGATGCAGAATATGGCCTCCTCACCTGCAGACCCCCTGCTAACCAAGGCAGCACAGGTACACACACGCGCGCGCGCACACACACACACACACACACACTCAGGGCCGGATTCTGAAAAGGGTTGTGCTTACCTGTGTGAGAACAGGTGTGTTTACCTGTGATCTTTGCTCATGTTTGAGCATTAAAACTCAACCTTTAGCTGACTGTCGGATTCTGATGAAGGTATGTGTAAACTGATTCTTGATGATACGTAGTCTATATTGACCAGAGACTTTAGAAGTAAAGAGCTTTGATAGTGCTCCTCGTTAATCACCTCAGACTTCCCGTTAGCTCAGCTGTTAGAGCAGTGTGTGTATGTGTGTGTGTGTCTGTTTACATTAAAAATATATTAAGATTTATATGTTCAGTAAATTAAATTAAACAGGATCTGAACAAGTAAAGATGGACTAAGCAGAGTTAAAACAACACAAATGAATCATACTTCACTGTTTTTAAATGAAAGTTTTACTGATATAAACACCTAGAGTGGACTGTAAAAAATATAATAAATGAAGCAATAAAAGAGAGAATAAAATTTAAACCCTTACAAGAAAAACAGGACGCGGACAGGGCCACTTGGAGGACTACAGCCTCTGTACATGGAGCGCACGCATTAACCACTATGCTACTGACACCTCAAACATTATGTTTTTTAACTGTGATTAATTAATTTCATGTTCCATAAATCTGTGAAGTGCTGAAGTGTATAAAAAATGAAACAGAAGTCAGACGGATCAATATAGAAGAATAAATATCACTAAGGACATCTATAGAAAGACGAGCTCAGAAAATAAAAACATGGCCGAGCTGATTCTATCCAAACTGAACTGAAAATATTCTCCCCTGCTGGGCGAGTAAAGGACCGACGACATGCTCACAATAACTCACACAGAAGAAAGAAACACAACAGACTTGTTTAAAATACTTCAAAATATTAATCAGACATAAACACTTTTTAAATATTTACAGGTGAGAAGTTCCTCCTCAAACATCTTTAATTGTATAGCACCAATTCATAAGGAATGTTATCTCTGGACACTTCACAAAAGAGCAGGTAAAAGACCTGACTCTTTGTTGTATATCTACAAAGAGCCATATTATCATGAGCAATAAGCAACTAGAGGAGGAAAAACCAACAGAAAAGTCCAAACAAATCTTGAGTTTTGTACTGAATTCTGAAAGTTTCAATATTTGATGTGTCGTCTTTGCACTTTTTCAATAAATCTGGGGTTTAATGTTTTAAATTCATCACATTCTGTTTTTTTAAAGGTTTTATACAACGTCCCAACTTCTAATGAAAATGTGTTATTTACAAATAATAAAAAGTATACAAACTGCTGGAGAGTTTATTCTAGAACATTTGTGTCAGATTAAAAATGTATGTATTTAATAGGGCTATCAAACTTTTACCTTTTTTTTTAATCGCTTTATTTCAAAAGTTAATCGCGATTAATCACATTTTAAACCTTCGTCCCCCGTTTGCCTTTTTTCGGCCGATTCGACAAGTTGACTCGGTGTCGGTCGGCGCTGTTGGTGAGAGCAGCTGTCTGTTTCTCCTTATTTACTCCCTCCGCCTCTTCTTTTCTACGACAATATTCTCGATTAGTAGGCTACTTTTAATGAGTGGTGACCGACAGCGGTGTGGAAATGGTCTCCTCATGTCATAACAACTGAGTACCGCTGCCTGCTGGCATGGAGAGTTATATATGCAACTTTTTGGCCAAGACAAAGGCCTTGTGAGGCGATGCCACAGTCAGCGTTTGTCGCCACTTGTTCTTTGACGTCTGCTCGGTGTGTCAGTGCCTTAAAGGGACAAAGTAGAACGTGATTAATTGCTATTACAGAAACTGAATGCATTCATTTCAGACATTTATTAGTCGCAATTAACTTCTTAATGCTTACAGCCCTAGTATGTAGAGAAATGTGAACTCAGTATTTCATTTGCCCCATCTTCAGGCTGACTCCGCCCACTTCCCTGAGGCTCCAGTGCCCCCTCCCTCTTCCTCCAGTGCTCTGCCCGCTGACGGGGCTGCCACTTTCCAGATCCAGGATGGGAAAAACACCACCAACTTCCTGTAGAGACGCTGCAGACTGTGATGTCACAGACTGCGATGTCCCCCCCCTGTGGACACTCTGTGATCATGTCAGGATGCACAATGGTGCAGGAGGAGCGCGCCTCAGTGTTTAACCATGCAGGGGGAGGGATGCTTAGGAGGTGTTTGGTTAGCCTTGTTATCCGCATTAGCATGTGGAATAGAAAATTGATGAGTAGATGTTTAACAGGTCCAGGATCAGTTTAATTATAGTGTAAGACGAGTCATTAACAAAAATTGTTTTTTAAGTGATTTTTACAGACTGCAGCCATCAGCTTCTGTGATCTTCGTATGAAACTTTTTGCTTTTTAAAGAAGTATGAGGTGTCAGGTTGAGTTTTTTTTGATGTTTTTAAAGAAGCATCTGTGTGTGTCTTTAACACACTCAGCTGAGTGACAAAACGTGTAGTCCAACAGAATTACAATATCAACAAAAGGGAAGGACAACAAAAACTGACGAACAGAAATCTTAATGTAGTCGTTTCATTATTATGGCTCGAGCTGAATGCCCCTGATTATATCCTTCTGCGTTCTCACATCAGCTCATTAGGAAGTGAAGTCCGAGTGAAAAATTTGGCTGTTTGCGTTCACACATACAGCTCCTCCTGGAAATATCAGGAGACTTTCAGGAGTTTTCTGCATGTGTGAAAGCCCTGTAACATTCACATTGACTCCATCATTCGTTCACACATTCGTCATTCTACACACACCTATACACACACCTTCAATCCTCCTCACAGCATGTTAATGATGTATATATTGCTGTGTGGTCAGGTTTAATCTGTCTATAGTCAGTGAGAGCTCATTAATAACTGAACATCACAGAAAGACTAAAGAGAACGACCTCAGGTTTGCTCACAGGTCACAGTCAGACAAGACTCAGAAAAAAACAAAAATGGCCAAAATGCAGAACTGGAGGTTATTGTCACTTTACCTGCATGTTCTTATATATACACTCTATGATAATGTACCTTCATTTATAGATACAGTTTATGATCATTTATCTATGTATAAGTATATGCGCTCTGATAATTTATCAATGTGTAAACAGTCTATATCAGACTTTTTTCTTCTGTAGTCTAAAAATGTAGGGATTCATGCTAACACGTCAGGTGTGTGTTCACCTGTGTGTCACATGACATTGCTGTGGAATCATTCTGCCCTCAGTCAGATCTAACCTTGAAGTGCTCTTTAAACACACGCCACACAAACAACACAGAACAGTAGCCCTTTAGACACAGATTCTGCAAAAGCTCCAACTGCCCACACTCTGCCCTCATGGCATTCTGACTCTGCCACCATCCCGCCCCTTAGTCTTCTCTCACTCTGCTCTCTCCACCATTGTACTTTTACACTCCATGGTTCTATTATTATTGCCTAACAAGGTACTAGTTACTGGTGCCGCAGTTAACACAGCTAAACATTGTTTAAAAAACCCACGATTGTTGGTCTAACAAATAACGCGTCTTCAGACGTCACACGTTTGTTCAGCCCTGCCGGCTCTGATGTGTTACATTAATCCAGTCTCACACCGTTAAACCTCTGTTATGACCTGTGTTACTACCTCTGATGACCACGTTCACGCCACCATCACACCTCGGAGGATCAGCCTCGATCAGACTAAAAGGGCTATTGTTACACACTGTTATACACACTTTTACACACTCGACTTTCTGCAGTATGATGATCAGAGTTCTGCTGTTACCATGGAAATGTTGTCATGTTAGAGAGACTGTTACCATGGTTATGTCACCAGGTTAAAGAGAATCTTTTACTATGGTGATGGAGTCATGTTGGAGAGAGTCTGTTACTAAGGTGATGTAGTCAGGCTTAAAAGATTCTGCTACCATGGTGATGTTATCAGGTTAAAGAAAGTCGGTTACCATCGTGATGTAAGGTGAAAGACAGTAAGTTACCATGGTGATGTAGCCAGTCTCTGATCTCTCCTCATAGTGCGCCCCCTGGTGTTACAGCAGAACTCTGATCATGCCTTTGTGTTAAACAGCAGCTACCTCGTGTTTGGATTACAAACCTCCTCATTGGTCACACCTGAGACATATCAGCCAATCAAAGCGAGGCAGGCAGTATTGCCTACTGTAGATTTTTTTTTTTTTTTTAAAGCTGCTGATCAGTGCCTCAGTCTGTAGAAACATGAACATGTTCAGATCTTATGTTTCAGTTACCTGTGTGTTTTGATGTGTACCTGTGTGTTTGTAACAATCATCTTCACTCTGAGCAGGTGATGGTTATGCTTTGAGCAGAGCTAAATGCTCTGTGTTTCTCAACCTGTGGACTTTATACACTTTGGGTTCCTACCTCTCATTTATCTCTTCAAACAGCATCAATAAAGCTTTTTATTTTACACTCTGAGCTGAACCTCTATCATTCTACATTTATTTATCAAAGTATTAAACAGATACATGTCTTTGAATTATGATGTTGATAATAACCATGCTATCAAAAAGAATCAACCAATAATAAACTTTAAAAAATTTAGAATTTTAATAACTCAGACATCGGGTATAAATCAAACGGAAATATCCAGGAGCGAAGTACCAAAAAAAACAAAAAAAACCTCACTGAAAGTAAAAAGCGACGTAACTGATGACCAGAGCAGCTAGGAATTCTGGGTAAAATTTACTCAGACTCATCAGATAACAAAACCAAAACTGATTAATCAGAACAAACATGGAATCATACCTGTAACATGATTTATTTTATAGTAACATCATTAAAACCTCAACATTTACATAAAAACCCCCAAAATATAACTTTAATATTTTTGTTTTTCTGATGTGAAAGTTAACGAGACACAGTCAGAGCTCTGCGTTTTTCTGACAATTTAAAAAAAGGGATTTTACTACAAAAAAAAAACCCAAAACAATTTAAGGATGATGTCTGTGTTGGTTCTCCGTCATCCGGGTCATGGTCAAGGCTAAGAAGCCTTTCGAAGGAGAGGTGAAATGTCTTCAAGATCTGGATCATGGATCTTCAAAAAGATCTTTTTGAAGATCCAGTTGTCTTTGGATCAAGCTTCAGATTTAAGGATGTGAGTTAACAAAGACGTGTGTGTTATACACACAGCGGGTTCATTTTGATGATTTATATCTGACCGGATTAATATAAGATAGTAAATGGACCTGAGCTTATAAAGCACTTTTCTAGTCTGGCAGATGTTGCTATTTGAAGTGAACATCTGAAGTAACTAATCCCATTCATACACATTCATATGTTGCTGACGAAGCAGCGGGAGCTTAAGTCTTGCCCAAGGACACAGCGGACATGTGGCTGCAGGAGCTGGGGATTGAACCCTCGACCTTCCGGTTGAGAGACGACCGACTCTGCCAACTGAGCCACAGCCGCCATACAGAAACACTTCAACCATGAACTACAGAAAATAAAGCAAAGTCAGATCTGAAATCAAGTTTGGATGTGAATGAAAGGACAAAAAACACAATCAAACAGATTTAACAAAATAATGAAATATTATCTTTCCTGGAGGTATTCGTCCAATCAGAGCAGACCAACTGCTGGTTGGACAAGCAGACAAAAAGATAACATTTCTTTTTTTTGTATTCATTAAGGGGACGGGGTCTGTTCATAGACAGTATCTCGTATGCTAAGCTACGCTAACCACACACAGATCTACCATCCTGTATCTTCATGTAAACAAGGACGGTTAGAGTGTGGAAGCTCTTATCAAACTAAAGTTTGAAAACCAAACATGCAGTTTAAATTTGATTTAATTGTATCTATATTAACAAAGTTTAATCAGACTTTGGAAATAAACCTGAGTTCTGTTTAATCAAACATTTTGCTTCTATCCGCCTCAGATTACTCCTCTGTCCTCCTCCACCCCTCCATCTCTCTCAGCCGCCTCTCCAGGATCCTCACCTGCTCCTCCAGGTGAGCAGCCTTATCCTCTGCCCCGGAGCCCCGCCCCCTCCCCACGCCCAATAAGACGCAGACAAACACCAGCACAGCCAATCGAACAGCTGTGGTGTCTGAACTCGCGCTGTGGTCGCTGAGGATGAGTCCGAAACAGCTCAGAGCAACGCCCACTTTCAGCAGCCATAGAGTCCGCCTTACAGTGGAAGCGACCAATTGGAGAGCAAGGGACAGCAGCCAGTAGCCAATAAGAGCCAGGAAAACCCACTGAGCCACAAAGATCACACCGTCAGGAGTCACAGTGTTGACAGAAAGGTTCACTGAGGATACAGAAGGAGTGAAAGAAGGAGGGGTTATGTTCTGTACTTGATCAGTTCCTCAAACTACCACTACAAAAACACAGTACTGTCCCTTTAAGAGTTCACACTGTCCTGTCAGGTCGGGTGGTGTTTACCTGCGAGTCCAGCAGCCTGCAGCAGGTGTGACACATACTCAAGGAGAATGTTCAGACCATCAGCAAAACTTCGTGCTACCACAGCCAGAACCTGAGAGAACGCCTGGAGCAGGGGGTGTGAGGGTTACATATAAAAACAGGTATATTATATTCATTCATATACATTAAAGGGATACTTCACCCATTTGCATTAAGCTTTGTATCATTAGAAACCTGGTAGTAAGGACGAGGAGCCGGGGCCGGCTCGAGCTGGGGCGGACTGGTAGTGTCGGTGTTCTCACTGTTTGCCTATGGACACAGACATAGAGTCTGTTTTCTGCCAGGAATTTCCAAGATACCAATTCCTTCTGGAAGAAATCTCTGAATCAGTTGAGGAAACGGCTGAATGTGTTGAAGTAAATATGTCTCTAAATGTTTTTATTACTATATTTCTACTGCTATATTGTGTATTTTGGAGAAACTGTAACGATTGAATTTCCCTCTGGGATTAATAAAGTATTTCTGATTCTGAAATAGAGGACCTTAGTGGGAGTGGCATGCTGTGCTGTGCATTCTGGGATTTGGTGTCTTTCATCCACATGAGCCAAAAAGACACTTTCTGCCTCAGCCAAGAAGGCACCAATTTTAAAATGTATTTCACATTTCTACTACATATATGACAATATATGTAATATCAATACAGATTATGTTGTACAGATGTTTCAACGGGTGAAGTATCCCTTTAATTGATCAAGTCATCTGGTTTTTAACCATCATGTTACAACCATCATGTCCTATTCAAATACTTTGGGTAGTTAAAGACTGAGAGGTATAAAAAGTTTCTGGATGTCTCCAGTAGATGTGCTCATCCTGCAGGCTGTAATGTTTGCAACATGATCATTGATTGATCAATGTGTGTCCACTAAAAGTTGTTGTTCTTGTCCTGGATAGCCTCAGAGTGTCTGACATTGCATTACACAAAAGATTCCCCACTGAGATGGCTCTTTTTGTAAAAGAGGAAGATGATTCTTTAACCACAAACAGCTGTTACATCACTCTCTACAAACACACCAGACTACATTGATAAAAACTGTGATTTTACCTCACAGGACACAGGAGCTAATCGTTGACAGACTAATCGAGCTCCTGTCTGTGTTTGTTAATGGAGTCTCTCTGAAGAGAGCCTGTTTCACAGCTGAAACAACTCCAAAACTTTTCATACTAATTCAAGTCATTTTAATTTCCTAAATAATCTGAAATAGAACAAAAGGTTAGAGAGGAGAAATTGTTTTATATCTGCTGTGTGATAAAAGACAGAGCTGCTGGATAATTAGAGGGAGATCACATCAGGCTGTTTTACTAATGAATGAATGAAAGCAGGAAGTGACGTCACGGACTGCCTTGTTCACTTTCTGCTCATAAAGACATAATCTGCTCACATCGAAGAGCTGTGTGTTGATTATAATATTGTCACTGAAAACCTGGTCTCACATTTAATACACGAACCATGATCTATATTATACACATGTTCTCTGTGTAACTGTTGGTACAAATTAAACTTTTTTAACATTTCCCCTTGTGTCTCTTCTGAGGTTAAACTTTTTTAACATCTTTCCCCTTGTGTCTCTTCTGAGGTTAAACTTTTTGAAAACATCTTTCCCCTTGTGTCTCTCCTTCTGAGGTTAAACTTTATGAAAACATCTCTCCCACAACGTGTTTTATTATTTAACACGTGTGTCTCACCTTCTGCACAGACTGGACCGTCTGCTCTCCGGCCAGTCTCCCCAGGTAAGACCTTCCCTCCCCGGCCAGCTCCGTAAAGGCGCTCCGGAGCTCCTGGATCATCCCGGACCCTGAGCGGCTCTCGAACTGTTTCTCCCCGGAAACGGAGCCCATGACGCCGCAGAGGAGCAGACACAGTCCGCCTAGAGCTGTCTGAAGGGAGGGGACGGTCATTCTGACGGAGGGTGGATAAGAAAAAATAGGCTACAGAAAAAAAACACCTACAACGGTGAAAAAGTCTCTGGTAAACAGCGACCGTGAAACAGGAATCAGGATGTGGAAAAACTAAGTAATAACTCTAGACGACAGGAGCGCCCCCCACAGGGCTCAGTGTGCAAGGGTTTCATTTATCCCCTCCTTTGTTTTCTTTTTCTCACTGACAGAGACACAGAACACTTCATTGTACAGACAGCGGATCATTAATCAATAATCAATCACAGTGTACTGCTGACTCAGTTTAGATTTAACGTGGTGCCTTCAGGTGCTTCTGGGATTTCTCCACACAGTTGCTGCAAAGGAAACGAAAAAACTCAAACTCTCGGAAGTAGCCTACGTCACAAAAAAGTATCATAATGAGTAATTTAACCAAAAAAACAGAACAATTAGACTAACTAAATTACTGCTTCTGTTTGATATGTTTATGATCATTTTGTACAAAAAAAGTCTTCAAGTTTTCCTCTTATTTGTGAGAAACTACCAACAACAGAAATAAACAAAAGGAACTATCCCTTAAATAAAAATATATTTTTCTGATTATGAAAGTTATCAAATTATTATTAATTGAAATGAAGAATTAAATGAAAGTTTTTCGCAAAACTGAATTCATACGATGTTTAAAGTACAAAATTATACAGAACAAAGATAAAAAACAATTACAATTTGAACTTAGGTGAAATTTGATGGTCTTTTCTCGTGTCAGAGGTCATGTTGACCTTGAACTCCTGGATGGCAGTTACAGTGTTCTTGAGGAATAAGAATCCACTGAAAGTTTCTTGTCACCTGTCACAGATCTTTAAATAAATAATCAAAATGACTAAAATATCAAAGCGTCTCAATACAATTTGAGCAGAATTTACCTTTAATGACTTCAAAAACTATACAGTAAAATCTGCAGAAAATTCTCAGGACTACTGCCAGGGACATGAGGAACAGGAATCTATTGAACGTTTAGAAGAACAGTCTACCTGTTAACATCAGAAGTGCTCAATTAATTGAACATTTTAAAACACTGCTTTAGCACAAATGTTTGCGTTGCCTTTGAATACAA